CCGGCTTTGTATTCACTCTCACAGCTACCTGTGCTCCCGGCTCTGCCTCCTTAAGGTCGGTGTCGATCGACACGTCAGTTCTGAACAGTCCGTCCACTTCGAAGTCCATGGCGTCGGCCACCACTTCTTCGTTGTCTTCTCTCACATAATAACATAAAATCCTTGCTTTCGGTGCCATTTTGTAAACAGCCATCACAGAGAACTCGTGTGAACTACTGTTCCCCGGAATGTCCAGACTGTGTGTCAGCACAATTTCTCCCCCTCTCATCACTTCATACACAATACGTGTGAGGGGTTCGGTAGCCGTGACACGGAATTTGACCTCATGTCCATCCCTTACATCCATGACATCACATCTCTCCACTTGAATGTAGTTCCCGGTCGGGGACTCAGCCATATAGATGTTGTCGTGTGAGTAGACATATAGCATATAAGTGCTATTAAATCGTAAAACTTTTGCGTCTTTAGACGGATATATCTCAGCCCTAATGAGTCCATGGATTGGCTGTAAGATCAGACTTTCAGTGAATTCAAGTTTTTTGTTATGATAGGAATATATATAGGATTTCAGTGTCACTGGAGGGCCGTTATCATCAACGGGAGTGCCGTCCGGATGAACCACTTTAAATAGAGCCGTGTATTTGAGTCCCGGCTTAAAGTCGCTTTTATTGATGGCCTCCACTATATAGTCTTTATCATAGAGTCTCAATGAATTACATTTAGTATACTCCTTTCCGGTCACTCCCTCCCTGACCACTGCCGTAAAGTTAATGTCTACATCATGTCGATATTTTTGCTGATCTATATCTAAATCTTTCACAATATTGATGGGAATGTCAACACTTCCATTGTTTATAGTCTTTGTCCGCAACTTTGAGTCTAATAATGACATTACAGTGCAGTATAATATAATTTGTTAATAATTTTTATACTATTGTATATTAAAAGCATTTGAAACAAATTAATATTGAAATTAATAAATACGTTTATATTTTGCTTGTACAGTGAGAGTGAGGTCTCCCTTAACGGGCTGTCCGTACGTATAATGGGCTGTGACTGTGGCGACCACATCGGGCTTATTAAAGGTGGCAGAGGGTGGCAGTAATACCTGTACCTCAAACGTGGGCAACACATACTCGGCCACTTCAAAGTTTCTCTGAAATGTCTGTCCCTTAATGTCCACAATTATGGCCCAATTGCCTAAAACTGGTTGTTCTGACAGTTGGAGTTCCCGAGAGATCATACCATTCGTGACCAACACTTGAGTCCATTGTTTGATACATAACTACACATATTATAAAACTGTCGCGAAGTCACGAAATACAAACCTCTTTTGTGCCATATCTGGTCATATCGGGGGTGATGTGGCCCCTGGAGGGCATGCACTTCATGTTACAAACCATATCTAAGTTCACACCACAAACACTACCTGTAATCAGCTTAAGAAACATTATGCTTAAAAATATAAAAAATAAATACACAAAACGGACGCGTGGGTGGGTATAGTAGGTGTCGATCAGAGCGTACTTTTGCTGAAATCTGGTAATGATATGACGCGCAAAGCCGTGATCCAAGAGTTACAGACATTCGACACAACATTTACAGACAATTATTGGGATGACTACCAATCCACTGCCCACAACCTATTCAATTTTTTTGGTGTTGTGGTCATATCTAATGGTCTCGTTTATAAAGAGAATATATTAGAGAGAGACAGGAAGTTAGACACACTATCAGCACAGTTGGATCGCATACCCCAAGCTGTTCCCCAGCGAATGCAAACCAATATGACCACTATTGCTAAAACTAGGAAACATTTTCCCGAAACTTGGTTATGGACCTCAATGCAAACAGGGTACTTTCGCATAAATTTTTAAAAATCAAACTACTATATTATTAACTAATTATAAACTTGATTAACTAATTATACTTAACTTATAATAATAAATTGAATTCTTTAGGAGTAATGGTTGCGCTGTTATTAAGAGCACAATCCCCGACACAATCACCTCGTGGTTCATCAGCGCATTCGCTATGCATATGGAGACTGGTCTGGGCATCGCAACCACACCTACGAAGGTATGGTATTAGGGTTACCCAAAAAAGTCATATGTAAAACAATTAAACCTGATTTTGGAAACCTTAGGTCACAGTTTTCCGACCGTTTTTCATCAAACTATCGCTGCCTTACTCTATAATAAGAGGCGAAACGGTAGCCATTGAGGTCATTGTCTTCAATTACACCACAAAACCAATTGAATCCGAAGTAGTATTTGATAACAAGAAGCAAGAGTTTGAGTTTAGCGACCAATTGGACACAAAAGGCGTAAATGTCTCTGAAATGAGACAATTGTTGTCAACACTTTAATCAATCAGTTCTCGTGGATCTCAAAGAATCGGCGAATGTATTGACAAAAAATGTCTCAATAGTTATCCCGAAGATAGCGGTTCCCGGCTCTCAGAAAGTATGGGTGACAGCCATTGGGGACATTGGATGTGGCGAACAGAATATGATGTAAAGAATTTTCTTTAATATACTTTTTGCACACATTTTGTTTATAATTGAAAATATTTTGCAGTAATTTTGTCCCGAATATCGTTGTATTGAATTACTTGAAACAAACGAATCGATTGACTCAACAAATCAAATCGAAAGCCATTTCTAATATAGAGATCGGATATCAACGGGAATTGACTTATAAGCGAAGGGACGGGTCGTTCAGTGCGTTCGGCGATGGGGACAGTAGTGGCAGCACGTGGTTGACGGCCTTTGTGGTCAAGGCTTTCATTCAGGCCAAAGGGCTGGTAGATATCGAC